CTCCTGTCATACACAAAATTAGTCCGTTAACATCTTTTGTCAAGGTAAAACCCCTAAAATAGAACCTCTTGATCCTTTCACCATATACCCTACCCTTATCTACTTAAAATTGGATGGTTAATAGAGCGACAAGATAACTCACAATACAAAACCTATATATCAATGCATACACTACTAAAAACACCATAAAAAACTTCTTCTTGAAATTTCTTCCACAACATTTTCAACATATATCCACAACAATGTTATCACTCCATAACATCATCATAATATATCTTAAACATACATAAAAACCATGGTAAATCTATCCCAAACAAGCCAAAGCATAAGAAAATTACAACATATACATTATCGCTCAAAGGTGGCGCCCAATGCTAGACCTCTAACAAAATGTGATGCTCAACAACAATCATTCTTTTTGCAAATAGTCGCGTTCAACAACACCCTTATGCCGCTTAGCATCCGGGAACAAAATTGCTCCAAACTTGGAGTGAAAAGTGGCTCTCAACGGTGCTCTACTACTGTTTAGCACCTAAGCATTCACATTTTTTAACACTGACACTCAATGGTCTGGAGCTAAAATGCTCTTAGACCTGCACATTGAACTGGTGCTTAGTGCCATCTTGCCACCACTCAACAATGTATCATATATCAGTAGAATAAATTCTATGATTTGGAGAAAAAAGAAATTGTTCAAATGGTCAAATTGGTATTCCTTACTTAGTACTTTGGTAAAAAAAACTGCTTTTAGTGTTCGGACACATACCAACTTGCTCAATTGACCAAATTCAAGTTCTTCAATTCAACATCAATTCAATCAATGTAAAGAACACACAAAACATCCAACACAGACCAAATTCAACAAATCAAACATCGTCATATCACTCAATCATGAAAAACATAAATTTCAAGACATCTATAACTAAAAAACAAATGCAATTAGCTTCTCTTATCTGAAAGACAACCAAATACCTTGAGAAACTTATAAACACCTCCTGGTGCACAGAAAGCGCTACTTGTCCCGAAGAATAACACAAACACGATCAAGATATATCATTAGAACTACTAATCAGCAGAAAATCTTTTAAAACTCAGGTTCACCACATGTGAACCAAGACAATACACATGCATAGGAAGAAAAATTAGATTAAGAAAAAAGGGTAGAAAATTAATTTATTCAAAGAAACTAATTAGATAAAAGTGGAGAACTCCTCTCAAAGATCATCCTAGTGGTCTCCCATCTTCTGATAAAGTCACACTAAAAACTTCTAAAAAGAAGAAATGATGTGAGTTTAGAATGATAAAACTATTTATAAAAATTCTATTTATTTTTTATACTTTTATTATTAAAATAATCAAATTTTGATTCACTGTTATATTCAAATTACGATTTTCTACACGAAATACTTATGAAACAAAAGTAAAATATATATTTTATAAAGTCAATATTCATATAAAAATATGTCAAGCAAATTAAGTTGTTCTAAAACGTCATCTTTCATATATTATTTCTTTTAATAAATTTAACATATATATATATATATATATATATATATATATAATACTCTTTTAATCAATAATTAAATATTTTGAATGTGAACCGTTATTGCAATGCACGCAATAGTTAGTATACAAACAAAACTACAAAGTTATATAAACTAAATTTTAGAAACAAAAAAATCTGTGGTTATACTACCTTAATGCAAATATTGACTTTCATTTTTTAGAAAAATCTAATCACCTTATTTGACATGTCACTAGATAAGTTGAATTTATTGTATATTTTATAAATATTGATTATAAGATTATACAAATTTAATAGATTTTTGTTCACACACAACTTTTACAA